TACTTCATCGATAAATGTTTTCTAGAAAGTTGTTATAAATGATGCATTTTTAAATCTTTTATTATTGAGTCTTAATCCCCAATATGTCTAGTTAATGAGAAATGTACAAATTTAGTTCATAGATGTTACTTAGGACCATAGCGAGGAGGATTCGAATTTTTGATTCTTCGAACCATAAAAATTTTAGACAAATGACATAACTCCAACAGAGAATCGAAATGATCATCCAAATCCAATGAAATACGGCTTTTAATGAGCACATAACATTTCATGGAGACAACTTGATAAAGCAAAAACAATAGTATTTGAGATTAATTTGAAAAAAAAAAAAAAACACACATTTTAGGTCTAAACCGGAAAAAAAATACAAAATGTAGGGTTTTTTATGAAAAAAAAAATCAGTTGGTTTACCTGTTGGTGACCTGTTAGGGTCCGAAATAACAAGTTTCCGGTAAACTTTGGGTCTTCTTCGGAAAAACTAAAAGTTTTAGGTTTAAAAAGAAAAAATCAAAATATAAGGTTTTTTTATGGAAAAAACCCTGATTTTCCTCCAATAATAAACATTTTTAAGGGTCTTTTATTATTTCTGTTTTCAGTTGATCCCTGAATAGTGTTGTCATCTTAATACATTTTTGTTGATTCCTAAGTGAAAGTCTCTATTATTCCTACTTCCCTCATATGCATGTATCTTGTAAAACTTTACATTTTTTCAACAGATGAAGCAACATACGCGGTAACATTTGTTCTTTATTTATTTATTTATTTATTTATCGTTTTCTCTATATGTATCAGATGATCATTAAAGTTTTTAACTTTTGTAATGCTAGAGGCTAGAAGAGATGGAAGTTAAAGATATCCTAATTGAGGAAGGAGAAAAACAATTTGATGTTGTTGATAAGGGCGATGTTGTAATTCTGCATGCTTTTGGAGCTGCAGTAGACGAAATGTTGACTTTGAGTAATCTTCAAGTTAATGAGGAATTCAACATCTATGAAGGTTCTAATTAAATAAATTATGAATTACTTCCAAATTAAATTCATACATTTTCATAGTGATACAGTTAGCATTTTGCATAACATTTTTTTGATGTTTTTATATTGTTAATTTTTTAGGAGATAAGCATGTATAAACAGGAACAAAGTGCAAGACCATAATATATATTTTTAGGAGATAAGCATCTATGTTTTGCACGTTATATGAGAGTTAGGTATATGTCTCTTTTTATATAAATTGTTTGGAAATATATAAACAGGAACAAAGTGCAAGACCATAATATATATTTTTGATAATACAACTAGGCGAGGCAATTGGCATGGTAATTAAATACTCTTACCGTATGTTTGGAATCATCCGGTTGACCCAAACAACCAAAAAAGGTAATCTTTTGTACGTGTCAAAATGTGTCGGGTTGGCCCAAACAACAAAAAAAAATCTTATAATTAATTACCCAGTTAATATTTTTTTTAATAGTATCACAAAAAGTAATATTAATCTGACTTCTATTATGAGGCAATTTAGGAAAATGTATTTATGAAAGATATATTTTGGACAAGTTTTGATCCACTTTACCCTTTTCTTTTTCAGTTAAATATTTGGATTTTAGCCGTTTGACCCGTTCATAAGTAAATGAACTGTGAATGGCTGGTAAGTGTCGTTTGATTGTTTGGATGCCTCTTTTTCATCGGTAATGATCGAAATACCAATTTACCTTTTGTTTGGATGTATATTTGCTTACCACTTCTGTTTTAGTTGGTATTTATTCTCTCTTTCTATGAGTATGTGTATTTATCAATGAATGTTACACAACATGCAGATTCGTGCACTGTGGAGGCACTACTGACTACTTCCAGAACAGTCATGGAATTATCTTTTTGGTTAATAGAAATGACAGTGATAGAGTTGTTGATGCAAGAGATGAGTTGCATAGGATGTTGGATGAGGTAATTTTTTCATTTTTTTTTTTTAAATTTAGTTATTGTCTTGCTGTTTGTTCGGTTGAATCAATTTGAATGTATTGAACTGCATTCCATAATCATGTTTGGTTGAACTATAGGAATGAATTAAACTTTTATATAGATTTTTATATTTTATGTAAATACAAATGTTTTCTATCGATAACAAGCACCAAGCAGCCAAAATGATCGGAGCTGTCTAAATTCATCCCCGCAACGCGGGGCTCCTCATCTAGTTTTTATAATAACAATATGTTTATGTCATTATGTTGAGATATTCACAAAGATTTATTGAATATTTAGTTCCAAGACTTACGAAATATCTACTTGTCCATTATAATATTATTTTTTAGTCTTTTTAAATGTGTTCTTTTATCGAAACTTCAACATTTTCTAGCATTTTAGCCGGTAATTCACCACAAAGCCATTTTACATTGTGTTTGACTGATTATAAGCCCCAAAAAATACGAATATAGTCCGTTGGTTTTGCAGTTTTAAAACTGCCCTATACCTGTTATGGTTTAAAAACCAAACCAAATTGGAACCAAACCATGGCTAAAATTGCAAACCACACTAAACACAAAAACCAAACCGTTTAGTTTTAACAAGCTAAAAGCAGATCTATGTGGTTTTCGTTGTGGTTTTAGCCAAAAAACCAAATCATGTTCACCCCTAAATAGGGGTGCATACTTGGATTCAGTTTTATGCCATATTTGTTCCAACTATCCTAAGAGTGTGACCAATTTATTTATTGCTTATGAGGCACCGCCTCGGGTTTGGGTGCGAATTGGTTGTTGGTGCGACATTATGGATGTGGCCATTACGATGTCTTTATGGGTCATTTGGAGTTTTCGTAATGCTTTGGTGTTTGGGTCGAAAAAGTATCGTAGAGATTCTATATTTGATTATATAGTTTCGGCTTCTTTTAAGTGGTTTGTCTCAAGATTGTCAAGATCGGGATCCTATATAGGATCGTTTTTAGGTTTGCAAGATCGAGATCGTAAGATCGGGATCAGAATCCTAAAATCCCACAAAACATTACATAAAAATGTAACTGATTATATATCAAACTTTTTTCCGTATATCACGGTTAAATAACTCAAAAAAGAATCAAACTTTTTTCCGTATATCACGGTTAAATAACTCAAAAAAGAAAAGTAACTGGTCATGTAGTGGTTAATGACATGAATAAATAGCTAAAAAAAATATTAATACTAATTATTTATCATACAAAAATAACAACTCACAACGTTCATGTTATTTGCTTTAACTAAAAAGAGGAAATCGATAACATTTCAACTTTTGAAACTCAAATAAAATTCGCAATTTTTCAAGCTCTGAAGGAAAAAGGCTTGAACAGTAAAAGAAAAGAAACATGAAAAAAGTTCATCTTTATTGTTGAGCTTGAACTATTGAAGAAATAAAATAATAACAAGCCAAAACTAAATCTCAAATTCTACCATTGACGAGGGTAAAATGTAAAAGGAAAAAAAAAACAATTATGGTTGTTGGTCATTTACGGTTCAAAAAAACAGTACAAGAATGGGGCTATTCTCGATTAAGCATTGGGTAAGGAGACCAAGTCAACCAGTAAATTGATAAAGATAATAAAAACCGAATCAAAATTTAGCAATTTTCATGGAATGGTAGGATCGGATCGGATCACGATCTTACGATCCTGTCTGCGATCTTACATATAAAATGATCCCTATTGCGATTCGGCAAAGCTTTTATAGGTAGGATCGTAGGATCTTACGATCAAGATCCTGATCTTGACAACCTTGGTTTGTCTATAAGAATCACAAACTTAAAATCAATTGGGTGTATTGATTATAAAACCCAACTATGGTTATCTCTTTTTAGTTGTTTCGCTCGTTTTCTAGTTGCTTGCTAATATCTATATATTTCTACCGTTCAAAAATAAAGATGGTTAGGGGGTATTTTTTTTTCTCTTGTGAAGTGGTTGAATAAGCAATGATGTCTGGATGAAGTGTTGTATACATAAAGTGTTTTTTCTAGACCGAATAAACTGTCTAAATTATACTAAATGACCATCTCAACTTGAGATGAGTTGGGATAAAAAAAAGAACATAATCGCTTAGTGTCTTAACGGCAACGCATTAAGCCAAACTTCTTGACTTAATCCATTAAGTCATTTTGTCCACATTAAGTGAGAAAGAATGCCCATGCATAGGTGTCGAGATTAAGTTCTTAACCCATTAAGTTTATTAAGTCCAAATGAAACAACCCCTAAGTGCACTACTGAAATTAGGATTGGTTGCACACATATTATTAAACCATAACGCCATGGATACACAACCTAAACAAACCTCTTTATATGAAGAAGCAAGCAAACTAATCTCCATTCTCCACTATTATTAAAGCAATTACCTAAGTTCTTGATGAAATGTCTGTTCTATTCTATACGTTAAGAAGTCCACATTGGGTTCTTGAGTATAAATTCAACCCAATTCTTGTATCTACTAAAGAGGCAATGATCTAAAGGCGTGTCACATTTAATCTCTTACTTATGAAAATGTACTAAATTACTGATATTCATTGCAAATCAACTTTCAAGGATCACAATTTCTAGCCTATAGCCTCATTAAACTTTGAGGTTCTCAACTTAAAGTTCTTAAACACAGTCAATGCCTAAATATAGGAAACTCAATGAACACTAGCAAGTGAAATATCAAAGTTTGTATCAAACTATCAGCAACTTTCTCAAGTTGTATAGATTTATATGTGGAAATCACTATGATTGAAAAGTGAAGTCTAAATGTAATAATGTATCCTTTTTAGCTACATGGGTAATTCAACAAATAGAATATGCAGATAAAAAAATATCAATTTAAGGTTTTAGAAGTAGCAGTAAATCCGGCCACAAGGATCACAGCTGAAATTATTATCAAAATTGAAAATTTCAGACCTTTGTTGTAGTACCAAAGCATAATCCTTAAATCCCTATATGTAACAGATTCTGATACACTACAAAATTACGATTAAGCCGCGAGTAGATTAGAAGCCCTAAAATTTTCGACTCACATATCAATTGTTGTCGCCAAAGAGAATGCGGAGCCTGGCGGCGAAGGCGCCGGTTGTATCGAGGGTGGCTTCAGCGAGGAGGCTGCTCTTGATGTGATTGATCCGATCGGAGATTGAATTTTTCTCTTCCTGCAAGGCGTTGGTATCCTCTTGGAGTTCTTGGATTCGGTATTTTTGACTTACCGATCGCATGCTTAGCAGCAAGATTCCAGTCATGGCGAAGAACTGGATGAAACTGTCTTTTCTTTTGAGTGCAGTGGCTACAAAACCAAGTGATTGTTTCGGCGTCGGAATACCTGTAGAGGCGGCAGAGGAGGTCGACGGTGCCATGGTTGTATGTTTTGAGTTTTGGGAATAATGTTGAATAACGACCCTCTTCGGCTCTTCCCAAACAAGGGTATCCGAAATAATTACTTAAAAGATAAAATTACAAAAATGGTCTTTGTGATATCTTGAAATAGCCACATATACTACAACTTCAAGAAAATAAACAAATTTGGTCCTTGTAATTTTTTGATATTATATGAAAGGTCCCTTCGTCAAACAGTGTCAAAAAACTGTCATTTAAAGTATCTCACGTGCATAGCATATGTGGGTAAAATCGTCCATTAATGAGCTATGTTCCATTTTACAAATTAAAGCATATGTCCTAGTGGTCTTTCTATTTGACCTCTCTCTTTCTTATCCAACGGTTTAAAAAATTGTTCCTTTCAAGAACAAAAAGACATGATGATGGTCGTTTGCATCTGCAGTCAAGGAGTAATAATTTTGACATCGTGGACCGATAACAACCCAAATCGAAAGTTATAAGACTGCTCGAAATCTAGATCAAAGTGCTTATTCATTGGATAGGTTGACCCACAAACATGCCCTAGATCCATAAGATTCATTCTTGGTTTGTTGGTGGAAGAAACATGCTTGAAGAAGGTTTTCGACATGTTGTAACTGAAACTACAATGTACAAGTTTTTATGCATAAGATTTTAATTTTAATTTTTATTTGCTTGAATTTGTGAATATAGTAGTAGTGGGTGTTATGATGCTAGTTTGGTGGTTGTAATTGTATTTTGTTTCGTTTTGTTGCAATGGAAATGTGTTTGGTGTTATAGAAATGTGTTTGGTGTTTGTGCAATGGTATTTTGTTTGAAAAAACATTATGGTTCATTTATAGGTAGTTTTGTTGGCAAAAACATATAATATTGACCATTTAATGGTCATTAGATATAACACTAAAATGAATGGTAAATTTTGTTAGCATAATAGACACATATATTAGTGTGGTATGCAACCACATACAAAAGTTACACATAATTGTGTTAAACACATCCACTGTGTCTATTGTTTAAAAATCACTACAACAAAAGATTTCCTAGAAGTGCTTTAACAACACAAAGAAAACCGATGAAACATAACATTGTCTTATATCCTTAAACACAACAAAATATAATGTGCCAACACTTAGACCATTGACACCTTCCCCATGTCTTTCTTCTTGGTCTTTACCATTTTCCTTGATCTTTCACCCGATCAACCTTGTCCTTTGCAACTTCAAGAGTTATGGCCCTTGTTTTTGCACTTTCTAAAAGTCATTGTCACATACTTTATTGACAACTTTTGACTTTGGTTGTTCCCTTTATCTATTGCTCTTGTCTTTTTTCTTTTTAGTCCTACTAGCCTAAACCAATATACTTATAAGCAAGATTGAAATGTATATATGTAATTTGCAATAAAAATGAAAATGATCATACATGTTTATGATGGTTTTGTAACACCCCAAATTCCAGAGGTATGATTTAAGGGTTTAAAGTGTAATTTTGAAGAAGGGACTCGACGAGTAGGTACGCTTACTCGCCGAGTCGGAGCGGGTCTTGGGTCGCGAATTAAGTGGCCAACTCGCCGAGTCGGAAGCTGGACTCGACGAGTTGGTGCTGGAATGAGAAAAACCCTAATCTTGGGGGTTGCACCCTATTTAAAGGACTTTATGTCCTTCTCTCAGCCTCCTTATTGCCCTTGAGAGTCAGTAAA